CCCGTGGTATCTATGCCCAGAGACCAGGGAGACTACACAACAGCACCCACAACAAAGATTTATCTGATCCGGCCCCAAGCCTCAATAATGTCAAGGATGAGAAACCCCCTCTGCCGGAAAAAGACCCGAAAAAACATCTTACCCTCCTAGTTTAAGTCCCAGATCACCATGTCAACTTCCCATTTTACAGCCAAGTCCCCAGAGAACACCAGGCTCTCCTCTCCTTTCAACAAGAGCATCCCGGCCCCTCCTCAGAGCCGAGGCTGAGCACTCACTGCCAAGAGCTGCACGCCAGCTGTGTGCTGGGGACGCCAGAGCGAGTGAGAGCCTCTCCCGGCACGCAAGAGGCGGGCAGTCCTGACCAGGAGACTGGCCGGGACACCTACATCAGGACCGCAGTGAGAAAGCACTAACAGAGGTCAGCTCAGCTCCGACCTCGACCACGGGGTGCTGAGACATCACGGAGGAGGGGCTCCAAACACTGGGGGAGGGAGCGGGAGGGTGGGTCCTGCTCAGAAAAGGCATCCCAGAAGCATTTATTTTAAGTTTACTTATTTATCCCATGAGTGAGAGAGACAGATACAGCACCCATGACAGGGTTCCAAAGCTAAGGCCCACCCCAGCTGCAACCAGCCCAGACCATGGGCCACTCTGGCTGGGAGCAAGGCCCCGAGCCAGTCACCCAGTCATACCGGCGCGTGGGAGAGTTAGCATGTTCTCCCCCAGCATCGGACGAGCCACAATTTGTTCCTTGGTTGTACGCCAGACGCAGTAGCTGGCTATGTTTGGGGACCACGTTGTACAAAAATGCCTCTTTTAACATTTGAACCTTGGGGCAAGCAGATGGCGTAGCAGTTACATCGCTGGACTCTCACACAGCCCGCAGCAGTTGAGTCCTAGACCCAGTGGCTAGAAACTCATGTTGGGCGCGTGTGCGTGCATGCCCAAGGTTCCGGGAGGAAAATGGAAGAGAAGGGATTGCGGTGTGGCCATCCCCCCAGAGGGTGATTTCTGACTTTCCCTCTTGCTGTCTCTGTTTCCCTCCCTCTGGCGAGTGCACACGCCCTAAGATTTTTTTTTTTGGACGTGAGGTGCAAGCCCAGTCTGAGCAAGGAGAGTCGCAGGATCAAAGGAACCCTGGGCCCAGGTGTCCACGCAGCACGCCAGCCGCAGCTCTGCCAGCTCCGACTGCAGACGTCCAGACTGTTACTGAGCAAACAATAAAATCCTATCTCGTTTCAGTCACTGTACTTTGGATTGCTTTCTAGGAGCACTTTAAGTTCCACCTAACTAAAACAAGGTGTGGGGCTGGCCCCCTAGCCCAGTAAGGGAGCTGGATCCCACACGGTTCAATGCCAGCCGCAGAGGCTTGAAAAACATGCCAGGTGTATGTGTGTACAGGCCCGAGTCCCAACAGGATGGAGACGTGGAGGAGAACGGGCTGCGGCATGACCAGCAAGAATGGGCTGCTGTTGGGGGTGCTTTCTCTCTCTGTCTCTGGCAAGCACACGCACCCTCTGGGAATTAGGAAAAAAAGAAAAGGAAAACAAGGTATGATCATTGCCCAGTGATTAATCCACTCTGGCCTGTTAGTAAAAAACAATAATAATATCAACAATTTCCCAACCAAACTGTAACTGGGGTTTTGTCACTAGTGTATTAATGTCAGAGAAAAAGTTACCTTGAAAGGCAATTTGAGTCCCACTGAACCCACAGGACGGATAAACTGACCTGGACTCTTTCATCGTTCAGGGTCACAGACATACCTCAGATTTCCAAGCAGCCTGGGCTACTCTTTCCTGACAGTGTATCTGCATAAACTCCAGTTTGGCTCCCCTCCTCCAGCTTTTTACCTGAATCAAAGACACCCACGTGGAAAATGTGATCAGAATCGGGAGAGTACCTGAGAGCTGCCCTTTCATTCACCCAAACCAGGCGAGATGCAGAGCACTTAGCACAGAGCCTGGCACAAAATAAGTGGTCAATAAACATTCAGTGACTGGGACCAGCAGTTAGCGTAATGGCTATGTCGCTGGACTCCCACGTAGTCGACCGTGGTTCGCGTCCCGGACCCGGTGGCTTAAAACTCACGCCGGGCACGTGTGCATGCGTGCCCAAGATCCCGAGAAGAGAACGGAGGAGAAGGAATTGTGGGTGGCCATCCTCCTGGGGGGGTGATTTCTCGCTTTCTGTCTCTGTCTCTCTCTGTCTGTCTGGCGAGCACACGCGCACTATAGCAAAAACCTCTCCAAAAAAAAAGAAAAAAAAAAACATTCAGTGACATGGTTACCAGTGTGCTACTCGCCGGACCATGTGCTGGAGCCAGGGCACAAAGATGCACAAACTCAGTGTCACTGGCCACACTCAGGAGCTCGGCTCTGTGAAGGGTCTACCACGACCGTGATGAGCAGAAGGGCCGTGTCCAGTGTCACTACAGCACTCGCTTTCCGAGGGGTGTCCTGGACACTCTGCTCATCTCATAACCTCACCCCAGGTGAGTGTGTCCTCTCCCACAACTTCAGTGACCTTTGATGGACAACGACGACCGACAACTGTTGTCCGCCACTGGCCAGCTCGACCTGAATGTTTTACAGGCATCTAATTCCAACATGTTCGAAACTAAATTTATCTCTCCTGCCCACCTTAGTCCTGCTCCTCATCCTGTTCCCTGTCCCCCTGTGCAGAACCAACACTCACCACTCAAAAACGGACGCAGTCCTGACTCCGAACTCCCTCACCAAAGAATCACCAAGTTTTGCTAATTCTACTTCCAAAACCATCTCTCCCCAACGTCTGCTTCTAACCTAACTCAAGACCATCCTCATTTCTCACATGGATTATTCCAGAAACCTTTCATCTGGCCTGTGGGCCCAACTCCTTTAAGGTATTATTCACGGACTGGCAGATGGTGCGGAGGTTAAGGCGCTGGATCCTACATGCTGAATCCATGGTTCGAATCCTGGACCTGACAGCTTGAAATACACACTGGGCATGTATGTGTGTGCATGCCCAAAGTTCTGAGGGGAGAATGGAGGAGAAGAGATTGTGGTGTGGCCATCCCCCTATGGGGGGCGGGGATTTCTCACTTCTCTCTTTCTCTCTCTCTCTCCCTCCCTCTGTCTCTCTCTTTATGTTGAGTGCACACACTCCCATGGGGGGGGGGACATTCTTCACATAGGCAGAGTGATCTTTCTAGTTCAAACATCTGAACATTTTTTTTAGAGGTTTTTGCCTTAAGACGTATGCGCTTGAAGAGACGAAGACAAACACAGTGAGAGAAAGTGAGAAACCAACCCCCCAGTGTGGATGGCCATGCTACAACCCCTTCTCCTCCATTCTCCCAGTTATCTTGGGCACACACGCACACACACCCAGTGCGATTTTCAAGCCACCAGGTCTAGGACTTGAACCACAGTCAGACATGGGGGAGTCCCAACAATATAACTGTTAATGCCATCTGCTGGTCCCGACAAATCTTTCTTAACTAGCTTCCCATTAACCAAAAGCATTTGAGTTTTTAACTAGGTTTACAAGGTCCCCTAAGACCAGACCATAGCCTGCTCTTTGTCTCTCAACTCTCTAGCTAGCCAGAGAACTTGAGCTTTCAAGACCAGCAGTTAGCATAATGGCTATGTCGCTGGGCTCCCATGTAGTCGACCGTGGTTCGCGTCCCGGACCCAGTGGCTTAAAACTCACGCCGAGCGCGTGTGCGTGCGTGCCCAAGATCCTGAGAGGAGAATGGAGGAGAAGGGATTGTGGTGTGGCCATCCTCCCTGGGGGTGATTTCTTGCTTTCTGTATCTCTGTCTCTCTCTGAATTTCTGGCTAGTGAATGTGCCCTATAGTAAAAACCTCTCCAAAAGAAAGAAAGAAAGAAAGAAAAGAACTTGAGCTTTCTGACAAGCAATGTCTTGAACTGCAAATACTCCCCCCTTCTGCCTCACTCTCCCAGGCATCCTTTAGGTCCTAGCTTTCTTTTTTTTGGAGAGGTTTTCGCTATAGGGCGCTTGCGCTTGCCAGACAGACGGAGAGAGACAGAGAGACAGAAAGCGAGAAAATTACCCCTCAGGCGGGTTGGCCATGCCACAATCCCTTCTCCTCCATTCTCCTCTCAGGATCTTGGGCACGCACGCACACGCGCTCGGCGTGAGTTTTAAGCCACCGGGTCCAGGACGCGAACCGCGGTCGTCTACGTGGGAGTCCAGCGATATAGCCATTACGCTAACTGCTGGTTCCCAGGTCCTAGCTTTCTGGGGGACAGAAGCCTCCCTGGATTCACCCAGACTGAGTGTTCTCTGAGCCCTTACCAGAATTGCCTGTTTCTCCGTGTCTTACATGTGGGGCTCCGGCAATGACAATAACAACTGGCACAAACGTGTATGCAGCATTCCCTTGGTGCCAGTAAGTGTTCTAAGCACTTTACACCTATGGTGACACTCTTAGCAGGCAAACTCTATTATTTTTTTAAGGATGAGGAAACTGAGTCAGAAGGACACTGCACATAGCTGGGACTCAAACACGCGCTGCCCGGCTCCACAGTCCGCACTCCTAACCACTACTCCAAAATCAAGCCTGCCTGGACTACTTGCAGTATGCTCAGAACCTGTCCGGTGCCGCACCACTCTCTCCGGAACGAACGAATGAATGAATGACACCATCTCGGACACGGACAGTTTCGGCCTCTCTCCACCGGCACCTCCCAGACCCTGCCAGGCCCGTGCCCCCCGCCCCAGCCGACCGACGGGAGGGGCCTGGCGCTC